CTCTTAGTGTTGCTGTTAAGAGTCCTCATAGAGTCCTGCTTTCTCACTTCTGTCTCACAATCTGCTTCCCAAGGACCCAAACCTGGAATAGTCCCCTGAGCAAGCAGCCTTATAAGTAGGTATCATTATGATTCTCCCTTTACAGATGAAGCAATAAAGTTTTAGAGATGCTAAGTAACTTGCTTACAAAGTTAGTTTCACACAGCTCATGATTTGTAGAGGTGGGGTTTGAATTTAGGCAACTGGTTCTAGAGCCCATGCTATTAACTAGGCACTCAATAAGTATAAGTGAATTAACAGCTTGGTCCCACTAGCCACCAAGAAAGACATTTAAAAAGCTACAACTCAGAAACAAAGCTTTGTGCACAAAATTTTTCTCAGTGCCAAGGAAATGAGGGCAGCAGCAGGTGCTGTGGAAGATCACGAGTGAGGCCTGTCGATTATGTGAACGGGCCTGGCTGATTCATAGCACAGTCACAGTGTCTGCGGGATTTAATCTCTTTCTAATGAAATATATGGTCTGGTATAGGACAACAGCCAGTTCTCCCTGACCTGTGCAAAACGCTGATCAGCCCATCATTTGGGTTTGTCTCTGGGACGTTATCAGAGATCAACACACACAGCCATGCACAGCTCCACCAGCCATCCCTGCTCCAGGGGACCCTTCCACTATGGGCAGCCTAGACAAAGGGAGGCCAGGGCCACCACCTGGATGAATGCTATGGCCTCTCTCTAATGTCCTCATGGTCCAGTGCATGGGGAGAGACAGACCACGGCATCGGGTGTTAGAGCAGAGAGGAGACTAGGTGATGTCTGGTCTGGTTATGCTGTGGAGATCACGATGATAAGCTCTAGAAATACACCCTGGGCGAGGAGGAGGGGAGAATCAATGTGGCTTAGCAAAGTTTCAGATTCCAGCACTAAGTTTGCATTTATGTTTATTATTAAAAGTTACAGTCCATCTGCCCTGTGCTCTTTGACCTCCTATGGCAGGTACATCCTGCACTAGACCTCTGGGCCTTTAATCATAAACTATCCTGTTTTTCTATTTAACTGTCTACATTCTTCCCTGAAAGGATGGCAGAAGCCATGGAAATGGGGAGTCTATCTTTAAAAGCTAATTTAGAAAAAAATCAGGCCCTGTGCGAAACATGTCAGGACCTGATCTTATTTATGTCATCCAGCAACCCTGGGAGACATTAAGCCCATGGCACAGATGAGAAAACAGACTTAGAGATGTCAAGTAACGTTGCCCAAGTTCACATGGCTGACCAGCAGATAGAACCAGGATTGGAAACCAAGTCCGTCCGATTTCACAGCCTGTGCATAACTGGAAAGTCAAACACTCCTTTGCCTTTCGTGGCTTCTCTGAACTCAGTGAGTCTTAGCGCAGCAGCTGTCCTGGGTTGAATACTATTCCCCCCAAATTCATATCTACCTGGAACCTCAGAACGTGACCTTACTTTGCAGATGGAATCAAGTTAAGATGAGGTCATACTGGATTAAGGCAGGCCAATGACTGGTGTCCTTGTAAAAAGAGGAAAATTTGGAAACAGAGACACAGAGACACAGGGAGAATGACACGTGATGGCAAAGGCAGAGATTGAAACGATGCGTCTACAAACCAAGAATTGCTGGCAAACACCAGATGATGGAGGAGTGAAGAATAGTTTTCCCCTAGAGTCTTCCAGAGAGTATGGCCTTGCTGACACCTTGATTTCCAATGGCTGGCCTCTAGAACTGTGAGATAATAAATTTCTGTTATTTGAAGACACCCAGTTTGTGGTACTGTGTTAAGTCAGCCTAAAAAAAAAAAAAAAAAAACACCAAATACAAAATAAAATCAAAAAACAAATACAGCAGCCAGACCATCAATCACTGCTATAATCCATAGCAAGGACCACCCTTTAGAACATGATCGATAAATTCTTTCATTCGTCCCTCATCAAGCACAGCAGCCCTGACAGGAAGCCTGTCTCCCCATCGCCCCACCAGACAAAAATCACTCCTCTTCCTGGCTGAGGAACTATCTCCCCTGAAAGGTACTAAACTCTCGAGTCATTTGAAGTGAAACTCTTACATGTGTTTTTAAATGTTTTTTTTTTTTCTTTCCTTTCTTGCAATCCTCTCAATCTTAAAATCAGGTTTCAGTCATGTCACTCTGGCTAAACAGAAATGAATTGATAGCTGACCGAGCCAAAAATCAACATATAGTGATAGAAATGTAGAAAGGTTGTAAAAAATGTATAGTTACGCATTATTCATTCACTCCAGTGAACACGTGGGTGCCATGACTGTAATGATGGAGGGAACGTAGGCTCAGTCCCTTCGGTGGAAGCAAGAGCTCCATGAAGAGTTAAATTACATTACAATCTGGTAAATGCTGTTACAAAGATAAAATATTCTCAGAGCCTAAAGGATGGAGCAATCAGCCCAGCCCCGTGAGTCTGGGAAGGCTTTGAGAATGAATGGATGTCTGCGTTGAAAAAAAAAATTTTAATCAATGATACAGGTATATGATACAGAACTCAAAAGGCACCAAAGTACCACAAACTGGGTGGTTTAGAACAAGAGAAACTTATTGTCTTACGGTTCTAGAAACTAGAAGTCCAAGATCAAGGCGTCTGTGGGGTTGGTATCTTCTAAGGACTGCAAGGGGGAACATGTGTTCCACGCCTTTCTCTTGGTTTCTAGTATTTTTCTGAGAATCACTTCCTGTGTCCAAGTTTCCCCTTTGTATAAGGAGACGTGTCATATTGGATTCTGGGCCCATGCTACTGCTCCATGACCTCATCTTTACTAACTACATCTGCAGTGACCCTATTTCCAAGTTCCATCCTAGGACTTTGACAATATGAATTTTGTGAATCGCAATTCAACCCAAAACAGATACTCGATGAAAGATAAATCTCCTTCCCTCTGATGTTCCCAAGCCATCCAGGTTCCTGCTCTAGAGGCGACCCACATCCCCAGAGTCCTCCAGGCATTTACCGACATATATGTGCAGTGCACATTCCGGGCGCTCGGAAATGCTCACGCTCCAAGTCCTCCGGCGTTCTCCTTACTTTTTCATTTAATAATATCCCTGCGAAATTTCCACATCAGTCCATACAGATCTCCTTTCTTCCTTTAAGTGGCTGTTTAGCAGTCCATAATTTATTTAACTGGTGCCTTATTGATAGACATCTAGGTAGTTCCTTGTCTTCAGCTATTACAAACAATGCCACAATGTATATTCTTGGGCACATGTCATTTTCGTGAATGTACAAGTGTATCTATTAATACCAGGAAATGGAAGTGCTTGGTCATCAGACTAGTGCCTTTTAAAATTTGAGATGTTTTGCCAAATTGTTCTCAAGGAGGTCAGAGGAGGTTGGCCCTTCACCAGCAGTGTTCACAGGGCTTGTTTCCCCACAGTCTTACCGGGCTGCGTTAACTAACACTGATCCTCGCCAATCTGATATATTCCTTTTGTGCTTTTAATTTGCATTTCTATTATCATGAGCATAATCGAGCACCTTTTTATGTGTTTAAGAGATATTCAGAATTCCTTTTCTTTGAACAGTCTGTACTGATCCTTTCCCATTTTTATGAGGGAGAATGAAAAGGATTTTTACAGATGCAGAAGAGGGAGTAAAAAAGGGCACTCGATAATCGTGGGACCCCCCAGAGATGGAGACTGGCTTTGAAAAAAGGCTTCAGGACCTACCAGCTCTCCAGTTGCTTGAGATTTCTGGCCCAGGCCTTCCTCCTCCTCCTGCCTAAGCAGCAGCCTGTTCGGGAACCAAAGGCAAGCCTGGAGATTAGATTCTGGGTTAGAATTACAAATTTGAGCTTAGACGCTGTGAATTCACTGAGAAAGCACTAGGGCCCTGCTCTGAGCCAGGTTTACCTCTAGGGGGCTGATTTAAGCTTGATCATGGCGGGTGGGGAGGTGGATAAAAGGTGGGAGCTTGTTGCATGAATTAGTAATAGGCTTGGGAGAGAGATAAAGCTTGAAACAGGCATAGGTGTCATAAAAGTATGGTCAGAGACCAGGATCAGAAATTCCTCCCTATGCTCTTTTGCTGTTCTTTTGTCTTTTCTGGCTAGGGCTGTGCTGAGTTCAAACTCAAACGAACAGACATTTCTGTCTAAACCTAGTATTATCTTGAAAGATCTGAGTATGGCTGAAAAGTTGTTTGCAGAACAGAGAAAGAATAAGGGTTATGCTTTCGGTGTCTCTGCTGCCTTGTGGTTTGCTCTCTGAGGATTAGGCAGATGTTGGTCCCACATCCTGTGTTGTTTCCAATAGGCGCATTCGGTTGCTTCCAGAAGGTCTTTCAAGTCTCACTGTCCTACTCTCCCATTCTTTGGAGAGTTAGTGAACACCTCCTGACACTAATCCCTAAACTTGGCCCTGGGGAAGATTCAGACATGA